ATATATATATATATATATATATATATATATGTATCTTTTACTTTCCATATGCACAGCACAATTTGTTAATTAATAACTTTTCTTTCACTGATAATTTAAAAATGTTAACACTGCTGTTAACTAACTATTTATTTAAGAATCTAAAATAAAGTTTTGACCAATGTGTGTAAGAAACCATGCAGTGGTGGAAAGTACTACTTCATACTTCTACTACATTTGAGTGGGAATTACTGTTACTTTTTACTCCACTACATTTATCTGATACCTTTAGATATTTTGCAGATTCAGATTAGTCATACAAAATATAATAAACAAATGAATTATATTATTATTATTATTATTATGGTTTAAACAGCAGTATATACATTTGTTAAGACAAGCCCCACCTTTACCAGCTGCAACATTAAATAGATGTACTCATAAATACATAAATAATTATGGTCAGTGATAAAGATTATTCTGAAATGGGTCATTCTGCATGATGGATCATCTTATTTTTGGTACTGTAAGTTTATTTTGATTCTCATGTTTTAGCTCTTAAGTAAAGTTCTGAATGCAGGACTTTTACTTTTAACAGAGTACTTCTACACACTTTCACTTTCACTTAAATAAAAGATCTGAGCACTTGGTCCACCACTGCAAAAGTGTAAAATTCATGACAGTACCAGTATTTAAAAACTGCTCGTAAGTACTTCAGCAGATGCATTTAGTTGCAGGGATGTACAGGCTGGTGGTGTTTGTGTACTGAGAGGCTGGCTTTGGGACAGGAAGCTGCATCTCGATCTGCAGGGCTTTGGTGGGCGGGGCCTGGAGGGAAGTCCCTGCCCCCCAAGCTTGTTGATTGACGCGCACCAGTGGCTCCTCCTCGCGACTCTTTTTTTTTTTTTTTTTTTTCCTCCCCCTTCGTTTTCCAGTGTAGTGCGTTGATTTCATACCAAAGTCATACTTAACATTCCACTTATACTGTCACACCTCTGAGAAATATTACGGGAAAAAAACAAGGCGCCAAATTAAAAGAAGCTAACTAAAAGTGACCATCTGCTCTCAGTGAGAAGAAGAAGGTGACTGCCAGATTATAGATATAAAAGGTAAGTGCTCCACTAATCTTCCCTCTTTTCTGTTTAGAGCCCTTTTCGGGGTGAGTTTTTTCATGCCGCTCGTCTCGTGAAGTTTTCAGATCATTGTCATTTTTTACATTTTTCCGCGGAGCTCCTTGCGTTGGGAGGGAAGGTTGAGGCTGTATTGTGTTTGACTTCCCCAGTGTGCATGGATATCTTTGACAGGCTCTGTACAATCATATTTCGACCGGTAGCGTCCCTTTTGACAGCAGAGAAGTGGGGCCAATATGTTTCTTTTCTGTCCCGCTCAGTTCATACCTGGATCAGCCAACACTTCCAGCCTTGTTGCTCAAGAGGAATCCAACAGTTTTACCTCCAGGAACAGAGAGAGAGAGACACACACACACACACACACACACACACACACACACACACACACACACACACACACACACACATCCATTTGGAGGAATACACAACTTCAGTGTGGTTTGGACCTCTGCATCCCAAAAGGTAAGACAACTTCTGGATTTGTCAGCATGGTGAAGTGAAGGGGAAGTGCTCCTGTTCTAACAGCACACATGCATTTATTAGACAAAGAGAAAGACACGTTTACAACAACTAAAAATAATAATTATGAAATAATCTGTCTCAACGAAGATGTTCTTTCTCTTTAGTTTTTGATGAGATTTTAATTTAGTAAATACATTTCCATTTTTACAACATTTCCATCTCTTTTAGAAACAGACATGTTTATTAAGACTCATTTAATGGATAATAAATATATATATTTTCTCTATTCTATAGTTTTGGATTAAATTCTTTTAACTTTATTTATGGAGGCAGAACTCGGTAGTGTAAAGGTAAAACCACAGAATATCAGCAGATTTACAAATACACCAACAAATGACAAATATCAAGGGATGCCAGCGTGTAGACCTGTGACTACACGTCTGCATTCCCAACATTATTTCTGTTACATCACCGCTATTATGTCACTATTAACAAATACCAAACCTCCGGTAGTAGTTTATTAGCTGATCACAAAAAAAAATCCAGTCAGACTTTTGTCAATTTAGAAGAAATTCTGAAGCCATAACAACTCAAATGTTTGACCGACTCAAACATTTAACGTTAAGTAAAAACATTTGTGAATTACAAATTTATAATTTAGTTATAAAATAGTATCTATTTATAATCCATCTATCTATTCTTTCCTTTTTACTTCTGTATTCCGTGCCAACAAACAGAGCAAGCGATGATACTCTGCAAAGTCCTACTAAGCACATAATTCAGAGGTGAGGATTTGAGATGCGTGGATATGTATGCGAGCTAATTGTATAATTATATGAGCGCCACCTCCGGCTACACCTGCTCTTGGTCTGTGTTGTTAGTTCAGGCTTGGTATATAGACCAAGCCAAATGTTCTGATTTATTAGGAAAAGAAGGGACATGCTAGTTTGTAAAGTCATAGCGTTGAATAACTGGCCGTCAAAAGGTTTGACATAAGAACAGAATGCAGTCTGTCAGGTTCGTCACAGCAAGCAGGAGAACCTGTTAAAGTGTCTCTGCTGTCGGCCCTCTTACTGTCTGCTCTTACTGCAGCAGCATTCCTTGTGGCGTTGTGCAATGTAGTATTTTCATTCCGTATTTCCTACATTTTGGAAATATTTTCACCGATTATGTGTGGAAACAGACTTCACAGCTCACGGCTGTGAGTGTAAGTATGAGGTCCTCTCCTCTGAAGGCCGGCAGCGTTGTCAGAGACACAATCTCTCGATGCAGCGCTGATAAGAGAGGACGATCGCTTGTTCGCGTTGGAAGCCTTCTGTTCCTGTTCGTCATGTTAGTCTCATGGTTGAGAGGCAAAAAAATCCACAGTTACAGCTATACTTTCTATCAACATGTGGAAATGATGTTCTGAGACGAAGCGACCAACCAGAACCACCGAACAATGTGTCTTTGGTAAATGAGACATGCCAAGAAGACGCCTAATAATAGATTTCGATGCTGATGGGTAAATCTGGAAAGGATTAAGCATTCTGCTGCTCCGACAGATTCCCCTTCATTGTTTTCATGCAGCATGAATGCATCAGGCCTCCCAATGTACAATGTGGTCTCTTTTTTCTTCTTCTTTTTTCTCTCTCTCTCTCTCCTTGAACGCACTTTATGTTCCTAAGCCGTTGTGGATGTAGCATGAACGCCGTGTGAGAGTTAAAGGCGAGGGGAAAGTTTTACAGCTTCACTCGTGTCATGGAGGTCAATTAGATTACTCGGGGTAATATCCCCTTAAAGTGGCCGTTTTCTCTCTTCTTACTCCCCAGCTGTGTTCCTTGGGGCCGTTTTGTCGGAAAGGAAGAGTTAATGAGCATGTGCGCGCTTCATGAGGGTTGGGGAAAGGAAATATGTTACCCTCCGATGTTTACGCTTTTTAAAAGAGTTTAACCACAATCTGTAGAGACGGAGAAGGTATTTCAAGTCGTCTGTGGCGCTCGGCCGATTCCAGCAAAGGGAATGCATCCCTTCTTTGCTCTGCCGAGTGTTTGCTCGGCTGCAGGTCTGTTGACCGTTTGTCGGCGAAGCGGCTTCACCCGCTTGTGTTAAACCCACAGAAGGGCGGCTAATGAGCTTTTGCCCATTTGTGCAGACGTTGGTCTCTTTTTTTTTTTCTTTTTTTTTAGCACCATCCCCAGAAGTGCTCATCCAAATGGTGGACACTTGCCCCTCTGTCAGCCCAGATCTGAACAGATACCACTTATGTGAGCGTGGCGAGCACACAGAGGGCCTCAGAGAAGAGCCTGCAGCTCTCGGCAGAAGGGCATCGATGGCAATCTGGAGGACAATATGCAGCCTGACGCTGTAAACCAGCAGCGGATGTGTTAAAGCTGTGTCGTCGAGGAGCACGTTGTGCTTCGAGCTGTTTATTACGGGGATACAACCTAAATGCTGCATGCTCTAGCACCAGCCAAAAACATCTTTAAACATACACCGGTTTCTTCAGCCCTCACAATCGATCAACATTGTATTCACGTTAATGCACTGCACATGTTGACATATCCTCCAAGCCATGAGGTTTTAACCGATAAGCTTCCTGGCCTGCTATTCGGACCACTCAGGGGAGGAGCCGGGGAGTGGCCTAGAACAGTATGGTCTTTGTATCGGTTGTCCCCAAGTTGCTAAACGTTGTAGTTGTTCTTTCTCTGGTGACCGACTGCTAGGAGTGATGTTCCACACAAATGTTCTGTAAAAGAGGAAGAAATGTGTGTTGTGGGTGTGTGTGTGTGTGCCAGCGTCTGTGGCTCCTCCAGCCTCCATTACAGATAGCATGAGGCTCACTGAGCCCGTCTGTTGTTTCAGAGATGAGTGTGTGTGTGTGTGTGTGTGTGTGTGTGTGTGTGTGTGTGTGTGTGTG